TACACATATTGTTCGTTATAGCGCTTCTACCTTCGGCCCACTCTTTCCAAATACGATCGAACTGCCCAGATGGTGTTGTGTCTTGTGCCTACAGTATATTCGGTATACGCTCAATACGCGTTTTTCAAGACTCTTTGTTTATCTCTGTCTAGTTTGAGCACTGCAAATCCCAATGGTTCGTCATTTGCTTGCAAAAATTCTCTTTCCATAAGCCTACATTTTCATCTGATTCCGGTTGCCTGGAAGCATTTTTTTCGTCGCTACATAGGTAGTTCACGTTTCAATCTCATTTTCATATGGACCCCATGGTAACAATCGTTATTCTCTTAATTCAATGAAAGTATTTTCGACAAAAAAGTAGATTTAATTGTTTTTCAATCCTTACAAATTTGAACTAAGTCAGTTAATTACCTCGAACGTCGGTTTCTTAGCGAGATACATCCTTCGGGAGCGTTGCCCTCAGAAAGCATCCCTCGGGCCTACGGCCCTCGGGATGCTTTCTTCGGGACACGCCCCTCGGGTTGTATCTCGCTAAGAAACCTCGTTCTCGGTAATTAACTCTTACTTTCAATGTTTTCCTTCGTGGATGAGTTAATAGTTATATACCCTGTACCTGTGAGCAGAGCTTTAATATCAAGTCTTCAATCAATTTCCCAATTCACGTTTTCCTTCGTAAATCGTAACAACATATACCAACATTGAACATGCCTGCATCATTCTGTCATGATATTTAAACGGTCAATATAAACTTATTACTAATAAGTAAACATTGTCAACACCGTATACTAATAATAGGCTAAAACGTACCTGCAAAAAATAGTTTTCTATTTGTATTTCTATTTTATCTGTGAAGAAGTTATCGTTTTTTATATTTTTCATCATGGCGGAAAGTACAGAGCGAGAGCTTTACGGCGACTTACGAGCAGTTACCGACTGACGAAATCCAAATTTCTGTTATATTTTGATTCAAGCAACTGGTGGGCAATTTGTCTGAGCATGCGCGAAGAAAATCAATATGGCGACATATTAATTTAATAGGAGTGTCTCGTGAATTTATCTGATTTTAAAGCTGATAAAACAACATTTTAATGAACGAAAACTTTGTAATATTTAGTGGATAACATTAAGCTATGCATTCCAAAGGTTTTAAAGTGAAAATAAGTACTTTTGCTTTATTTTATTGCTTTTTATGCTTTGAAAACAGGCAAGCTCATATTTTTGCAAAAATCTAATCTAATTTTTTACCCATCATTTGTTTAATCTGAACAGAAATAGATAGAACACTTGGCTATATAAGTTACAAAGGTATTGTTAGCTGATCTAAAAGATTTCAGTATTCCTGGTACACATTTTGACAAAGAATGAAATATAATTTCAAAAATTAAATATGCATATCAAGAACAATACTCTTTATTAGAACAACACATAACAAGTTGTTATTTTCTATTTTTACAAAAACAAGTTTGGAAACAGGATTTAGTCCTCCAGCTTGATGTCATATTCCATTTATTTGGATATTTCAATAAAGGAATGTGAAATAATAATTTAATCTTGTGCAAAATTTGATACTAACACACATGTGAACAGATACTATCACCTAAAAAAAAAGAAAACAGAACATAAATTTATCATCTAATGCTATGAAAAATTTTTAGATACTACAGGCATATAGTGAGCACAATTCTTTAACAAACTCACTAAAATAAGTTAAGTTATGCTATGATAAGAGGATGGCAATACATAACATTATCAAATGTCGCCATCTTCAGTGTCCAAAAAAGTGCCGCGCGCATTTTTCGTGGTCGCATAACTGGTATTGCCACAAACCCATGTGAAAAAGCAATTAGGAAAACCTGATTTTGGGTGACGAGCATAGTCAAATTCTTGACTTATTCAATTTTCTATGTTTTTCCAGGTAAACAGATTAAACATTGAAATAAGCCAAATTCGGGACCTCGTAGAATCCAAACTATTGTGTATGGACCAGATTTTTTTCAATTTTCTGTGATTTACATAACACTAGTTATAATTTAAGGGTCAACCAGTATTGTTGAGGACATACTTCCTTCCAGAACACCTTTTCAAAATACTAACCCAAACATGTCAAAAATAGTGTATATTTACAAGGGCAATTTCAACCCTTTGCCACATTTTTCCCATGAATGATTTTAATTCTAATAAAAAGAATATAGATAAAACTTTGATTTAAAGCTAGTTTCAAGTATTGAGCATACCATAATTTTTAAGCTATACCTCAAAGAAGACAGGCCACTTCAACATAAACATTGAAATATGGGTGTATTGACAGCTCTGTTACACGTGTCGTTTGGAATTAGCAGACCTTCTGAAACATTTTAATGAAAGTATAATAATTAATCCAACTAGCTCCGTGGGCACGAGCAAAATTTAGTGTTGATGTAAATATCCATTTAGTTCATGTTTCCCCGGTGAGAATATAGTCTATTCCAAAGCTGATTTCGACGTACTTTAGCTTTTCAGAAACTGTTGGTCTCCCTCAGTAAGATTATCAACTGTTTCACAAACATATTTGATAGTAAACAGCTAAAATATTATCCGAAAGCCTATATTTTTGCTCTTCGACGCGAAAATGGCAGCTCAAGAAGAAATGAGCCGCTATTTTTGGTCAGCGTCGACAAATTGCCCACCTGTTGATTCAGGCTGCATCGTCATAACTCGGTCAAGGAAACAGGCACGAGTCATGACGTCAAAATCAGAATATTTTCTAACTACCCATTCAACTTTTCAACATATACAATTTCCTAATCGCTATGATTAATCATGCTAATATTCTTTTAAATCCTTCTTTAACAATGCTAGCTGTGATTGCCAACAAAAGTGTGAAATAACTCCAACAAAGTATTAAGGAAATTTGCTAACTTAATATATCATGCTTATTCACTACTATATTTAAAAGCTAAGATACTGGACCCCACGATTATAGTATGCATCATATTTTCATTGACAAATATCCTATTCTAACACCAAACGCATAATAAAACACAATATGATATTAAAGTGAAGATTTGAAGTAACTTACTTGAAAATTTTGAAAATAAAATGGAGAAGATCGTCCCTTTAGCCATTGTTGCTCACTTATACTTTATAATTGTCCGTTTTGTTCTTTTCATTTCTTTTGGTGACAAATCAACTCCATGCGTTTGTTCGTAAAAACGTACATTTGTATTACTTCGTATGCACTCTTTCAAGGCAGCCATATTGCCAGAATATTAATTATTAACTTCTATTTAACCGAGTGCGAGGTGTTCACAGAGAAATATCGGACCGAGGTTTTTTTTCTACATACCGATCGAGCCCGTAGGGCGAGGTATGTACAAAAAGACCAAGGTCCGATATTTCTCTGTAAAGACCAAGCAAGCGACGTCAATAAAAGTTTATTATATTGCATTTATGGGCATTTATACTTGAAACAAACAAGAAATGCATGATTTGAAATGCATATTAGTAGAGCGCTACACATTTGAACGAAGAAAACAAAAACTAGCAATGTATTCCTTCCTTTCCACTTAAAACCATTCGCAGATATTTTTAATAATAGTTTTATTGATCCATCTTTAGTGTAAAAATACAATGGATTTACAGTAAAAATCTAAGTAGTAGTCTAGTAGTTATATGTACAGATAAAAATTGTAGGAATAGTTATAAAAATATTGTCTATAATAATGAGTTTGTTCTGGGAATGAACGACAGTTCATGCCTTTTAGTGTATGAGAAAATTCCGGGAAGAGTTTTTGGTGTTCTCAGGTCATACTTGTTCGTCACCATGTCTGGTATGTACTTCCTGCATGGGTGTGTTTCGTCATTAATGATTTTCTCGTACTCGCGAATTGAAAGTTTATCCCGACGTTGTTCCCGTTCGTTGTTATTAATAACAAACTAAATTATAATTTTCAAATTTTCTACAAGTTTTGCTGTTTTTTTCTAAATTCATGCGTTTATTTTTACGTAATGGACCGCCTGGTCCGTTATGGGAAAATAATGGACGGCTGAAATTGCGCCTCTCATGCCAATCCGCACAGTCCGCCATTTCACCGGAAGTGATACTTGCCATTATAATAAAACCCGATTAATGGTTAATTTTCTATACTCTGTTACATTTTTAACGACTAGTCAAATCTCTTTTCGGTTCAAAGCTTTGCCAGGGATTTTGCAACACAGACCTTCGTGTAGCCTTGAAAACCAGGTTGGCTTGAAACTACAAAGCACCTATGAATGGGCGCGCAAACTTGAGATATCAGCTGATTATTGATCGTGCATTCTATTTCAGAACCATGCTGATAGAGATATTAAACTAGTTTCATATTATTCTGAGACCAGGGCCGAAGCTAGACTTTTAAGCTAGACCGAACTAAACCTTAGCTAGACTGCAGTGGAGGTAGTGTAAGGAACCGTCAATTTCAAAAATGCTCTGGCAAATTTAAAGAACCTACTCAATTTTAGGTTCTCTTTCTCAAGTTGGGGCACCTATTAAGGTGGTGGCCGGCGCAAACCCCCTCTCTCTGCGGCCTTGTCTGAAACGACAGAGAGCAACGAAAAAAGATAAATCACGCCATCAATCTCGTTGACTCGATTGCTCAAGTGAAGGGCAGAGAAGCTATCCGATGTCTGGATATCCGAAGATGCGAGTTCGGTTCCCGTTCGAGACAAGCAATGTTTTGTTCCTTTCTGCATGCAGTGTCAGAATAATATGAAATTAGTTTTTCATTAATGACCAAAGCAACTGCAAATCATTGTAGAAAGCTTAAGTCGCCATCATATATTAATTAATTAACTTGGTTTTAATTGGATGGGCGAGGGATCACATATCCTTGTAAACACCTTGTGCGTCACAAGTTGCTGCGCGAAAATGTTCCAGCTGGCTTGTGATCAGAATTTCCACCGTGTCTTAACATATGTGAGCATGCATCAATGGGACGTGAAAATTAATACATTTATAACAACTTCTAATTCTTTTTATACAGATGGCGTTCACGTTCGAACGAGTCAATTGCCAGGAGATAAGAAGAATGATTCTTGTTGCAACAAAAGTCGTTGTCGGCTTTCTTATCCTGATATATTTTGGTGGAAGTCTGGTCATTTGTAATGAAGATATTCCGTTCTGTGATAAGCGCTTGGAAGAACTAAAAAATGACGTGAAAGACTGGCGAAAAAGATGCTTGAATGGTACTGTTCAAGTGCCTAATTCTTCATGCTGTGCAGCAGAGAACGAACGGAATCAGCAGAGAATGGAAATGCAAACAAAATTTTGCTTTTATAAAGGTACAGTAAATGCAGTATTCTATTATACAAATGATTGAAGTGTCCAGGAGATTTTTAATCCTCCGTCATTCATTACTCAAGTAGGGCATCTGCATTTAATTTTGAAAGACAACGTTCAGGCTAAAATGTTTATATATAAGAGGCTTATACAGATTTATAAGCATGAGAGAAAATTAGTTTGGCACCTTGCTTTGCATGAATCTAGGTCACTTTTTTCCATTGGAAAAACATATCTTATTTAACAAATAACTCATAAATTAAGTCTAAATATTTATCCACATAAAAGGTTTTTATTTATCACCACAAAACTACACAACTTGGTACTACGATGTAGATACATACGCTGTGGGTTTAGACTATGTTATTCTTGCGTACTTGAAAGTGGTCCACTCTTTTTATGGCAGCGTGTCGTCATTGAACATTCTTGCATTTCTTTGCTCCGTCTTTACTAGACTGGTAAACTATTCAATAGAATGTGTTTTAGATGTAGTTTTTTATATTTATTATTTATCAAAAATATTTCATATTTATAGGAATTATGATACTTTTCACTTCAATTCTTAATGTCCGTTATCTGTTTTCTATATATATTATGTAAATGTGACTCTGCAAATACATTTCAAAATTTATTGTTGCTCATCGTATATATTAAGAATTAAAACTTTACCCCAAATCATGAATTTAACAGATGAAATTCTTGTAAATTTACAGTGTAATCCCCGAGAAGTACCCATTAAGCTAGCTTGCACTAAATGTGTAACTTTGACATTGAACACAAGAAAAACAACAGGAAGGCGGTAAAACCAAATTAGCATTCAGGAATGTATGCAAGAATTGTGTAACAGGATAGGGTTAGCGTAAGGGTTTAGGTTAAACGTTAGTGTACGTTTCTTGCAGGGCTGCCCAAAGCACATACAACAACAACAACCGCCTTGACTACATTTCCCTGTATTACTTCGTATATTCACCTCAAAATAGCAATTTCTGTTGACTGATCAAAATGACCAATTGTTGGCTTTCTAGTATCACTTAAAATGGAATCACAAACATTCGGATTTGTTCAAATTATTGAAATTAAGCAAAATTATTTTAAAACTTCATAAAGGTTCTTTTAAATAAGGCAAGTTATTAGTGATCCGGTCTTATAAACAGCGTCGTAACTAGTCGCGATAATTGGGGGGGGGAGTGCATATTCATATAATCATGTTCACATACCGTAAAAACAATCGCTTTCGAAAGAAATTACTATATGGCTAAACACGAATATATTAATATAGATTTATGTTCAACCCCACTAATTTCTTTTGAAATCGATTGTTTGTACGATATATGTGAACATGAATATATGAACATGCACCCTCCCCCTACCCAATTATCGCGTCTAGCTACGGCCCTTCTTATAAAAAGTTAGTAAAGGGCAGAGAGCCAGAAACCGAAGCGGGGGACCGCCCAAACCTTTCCGTTTTCATAATGTGTACCAATAAAATGAACTCACGACATTGTTCTATTTTTTTGCCTGGACTTTGGCGTGGGGATTTTGCAGCTGTGACGTTTCTCTGTAAAACATCATGGAAAAAATCGATAGTTTTGTTGAAAGCCTTAACATATCGGAATCGTCTTTGCAGAATATAAAAAAGAAAGCAATTTGATGCAAACACCTGTCTATACATTCATAATACCATACCTGACATACCTGTTCTATACATTTATATTATACGCCTTCCTTGAAAGCACTCAAATTTGAAGAAAAAACGCGCTAAAATTGTCAATATTTCTTGCAAAAAAGTTGTTTTGAGAAACGTTGGAAATTTTTAAGTTCATATATTAACAAAAAAAGTCTGCAGAAGATGACATAATCTCGCGGCAGCATCGCCAATAGCCGACCGTTGAAAATAGCAGAAAATTACATAATGAAATTATGTGTACTGTAAGAACAAAGTGACCTTGGGGGTGGGAGGGGGGGTGTGGTATCCAGAAAGACGTCCATATGACTTTTCTCATGGACAAAATCGATACGCGAGGTTTCCCAAACATAGATGGCAATTTTCTTTAAAAATCCCTTTCCAAATAATTAAAATATTCTTAAACTAACTTCCATAATTTCGACAAGTCTAAATATTGGTGTCACCACTTAAAGGATACCTATTGATTGAAACTGTCAGATCTACTTTAAAAATCCGAATATTAAACCCGAAGAATAATTTTAGTTCAAATATCAGTTTCTGTCATGATTTCCAAGATGCAGTAGGCGACCCTAAGATAGTCTATGATATTCGGTAGTATCGTAAAACACAATGTGATATCCTAAGATGCTGGCTGATATCCTAAGATTCCGTATGCATGGTATCCTACGATACAACATGATATCGCGATCTATACTGGATGATATCCTAGTGCACTGGGTGATATGTGGCATTACGTGTTACTCATGGTGCGTCGATGTATCAAACAAATTTTATGCGCCATTTGACAAGTGATGCAAATTTAAAAATACATTCTCTTTTGATGACTGTTCTTTTCATCAGGGCCATACCCGGAACCATACCTGTTTATCGGTGAAGATTCTGGAATCAACGCAATTGATTTGCTAACTCATGGTAAAACTGTCGTTATTCCTGGACTTAATGAGAATAAAGGGATGGCAACTGACAAAGCGGAAATGAAAATATACTTCAGAAACGGCAGCAGTATATCCAGAGCAAACCTTGATGGCACCGGTGTTGAAGTTTTTTTGGAAAATGCTGATATTTGGAAAGTGAAATTTGACTGGATAACAAGTAGACTATACTGGATTACTTGGACAGATGAGCGGACTTACGTAATGTATTTGCATAATAAAAAGAAAAGACAGCTGACAGAAACAGGGATAGGGAACATCGATATAGCAGTGGATCCGACAGTGGGGTAAGTTATATTGATTTGGGGACTGAAGACTTATGATGCGTTATCAACATAAATTATAAAATATGCATGAATTTTTGATTATTTAAGAAAAAAATATTTTAGTATTGATTATAAATGTTTTAGAGGTGCATTTGCTGTCCAATCAAAAAAAATTTATTTTTTTTCATGTTTTCGGCCGATTTTGGAATTGTTACTCCTGAGCAACAACATGCAGTAAGGGTAACGTTAAATTTGTATGGCAAAATATAATGAAGTTATAAATCCATATATTTTTTAATTCTTCCCTGAGAATTATAAGGTCTACAGAAAAGACAGGGACAATAACAGCAGGGGCGGTGAAGTTTTCCAAGCAGTAAAGAATGACCTCATAATGACCCATCGCTCTGAGTGGGACTCTGATTGTGAAATTATATGGACACAGTGTCAGTTGGCTGGAATAAGAACTGCAAAATCTATCTACTTCGGGTTTTACTATCGACCAAATATATCTGATATGAAAAGTCTTGAAGAGCTAAATACATCGTTATTGAAAATGGGAGCTGCTTTACATAAGAACAATGTAATCCTCACTGGCGATTTCAATGCACCAGACGTCAATTGGGATAATAATCCACTCGGCCAAGACGATTTAACTACAGCGTCTAAAAGGCTCCTGGAGGTACTTGATGACAATGACTTAATCCAGTTTGTCAAAGAGCCGACTAGGCGACAAGGGACCACTCAAAATATCTTGGACCTCGTCTTATCGAATAATAAGGATATTATCGGCGGAGTCAAAGTCATCGATGGTATAAGTGACCATGATATTGTCCTATGTACTGTCAAGACATCCTGCCAGCAGAAACGAAATGTTAAACGTAAAGTTTACATTAAGAAGAAAGCTGATTCTGCTCGTATCAAGCAAGAGCTGCAAACATTAATTACGACTCAGCATCAGGAACCTAATTCAAGCGATGTGTCAGTTGACAAGATGTGGGCGGACTTTGAAGGAAATATCCGACGTATAATGGATACCTCACAAAATGTCCAGCTCAAGATACAACCTCCCCTGGTTCAACCGCTTACTTAGAAGGAAAACAAGAATTAAACAACATCTTTACAATAAGGCAAAGAAATCAGGAAACCCTGCACATTGGAATGAATTTCGGACTGCTAGGAAACGACTGCAAAAGGACTTGAAATCTACAAGAGAAACGTATATTTCAGATTTCCTGGGAACCGCGATAGAAGAAAATCCAAAGCGCTTTTGATCATATATTAAACAATTAAAAATGAGGATCCTGGCGTAGCTGACTTCAAAGTTGAT